TTAAGGTGCATTGCTTTGTTCTTTGGAGCCCAGGATGCCCTGAAGTCCTCCACGGAGGGCAGCACAGGGCAGTGATGTGAGCTCTGTCCTAAGGTCTGAGGCTGCTTTCAGGACTCTATGGGCATTTGCTTCTCGTTTCATGGAACAGAGCTTTCTAAGAAGTGCACAGGAATCCAAACCCTGGAAGTGCTTTCCTGAAGTCTGCAGAAAGCCTCAAACCAATGGACTGGCTTTAAAAAAAAAAAGCATGGATGTTGCCTTCATTCACCCAATTCTCAAGGCCTGCATGTTTTGAATTTGAATGCTGAATAACCCAAACAAGCCTCTGGTGGCTGCAACCTGGCTTCCCAACCCCATTATAAATTCCACAAGTTCTTCATTTGGCAGCTGAGTGCAGCAAATAAACCTTTCTGTTCAATCAGGTGATGTGTTTGTTTTGGGCTTGGCATCCATTTTGAACGTGTGACACACAAAGCAGAGGTACCAAAGTTACACATCTCTTGGTTTATCTACCCATGGACATCAATAGGAGCACCCACACGCCTCCACGGAGCCCAGGTTTGCTCCTGGAATTGTTGCTCACCTCCAAAATCTGTGCATAAGGTAACAGCATCGTTTATAAGCCCATATAAAAGCAACACCATGCAGCTGCTCAGTCTGTACAACTATGAAATGAGAGATCTGGATGCTAGAAGCACTTTCTTCATAGACTAGCTTGCCCATATAATGCACATAGAGAGGAGAACTGCACTCTTGGAGCTGCAGGAAGCAAAGCTCAGTGCTAACAAAGGAAGCTGTCAGAAGTGTTGATGTTAAAGCTTTTCTTTTTTAACTTAAAGAACATGTGCCTCTGTGTATATTCTATTTTCCATTAATTAACTCTGTCCCACACACCACCCAAACACATCCTGGACTTCAGAAGGCATTCTAACCCACGTTTTGTGTTTTCTTTTTGTCTCTCCATGTTATGACATCTCGAGGATTGGAGCTGGCACTCGTGTTTATAAAGCAGGGGGATTCCACGCATGGCGACAGGATGGATATTTTAACAATATGGTACAAATATTGTCAATTTGCTATTTTTTCCCTTGCCTTTTCCAACACATCATCAATCTAGAGCGGGTTTCTGTGCATGAACCCTGCTTACCACTGAGCCGGAGCCTCTTGGCATGGATGCAAAGAGGCTTTTTTATAAATAAAACTTAAGAAAATCACCATGCACTCCATTAATTCAGGAACACTCCGCCTCAGCTTCAAAGGGGATCTTTACTGTAAAGATGGTGTTTTTGCTGCTTTAATGATTTGCTACTTGTACTTGTCATAACTACATGAACCAAGTATGCAATAGCAGGGAGCAGCGGTTCCGCCTCCCCTCCAGTTTGATTCAATAGATTTGAGGTTGCATAGAGGAAAGCTACTTCATAAATCTGATACTTAAGGCCGTTGTACAATGCCAGTTAATGAAAGGAAGCTGCCTGCGTGCCTCAGCTATGTGGATCTCATGCACTGCTATGGCATCCAGCACCTTTAACAGCTAGCCACCACAAAGCACTGAGCCAAAGCAAGCAAAGCCAGAGGTAAAATAATACATGCTCCATCTAAATACTATATACCAGAAGAGAAGGGGCCTAAGGCTTTCCACAGTTCCTTAAGCCTTTGGCAAAACATGAAGGCTCCTGATTTTTAAGGTGTGTTTTATCCCAGCACATCTCTTACCCCCACTCTCCATGCCGTACATTTCTATCGATTCCTCCCTCAGGGAGGAGAGGCTTTGAAGCTGAAGGTCTCAGAGGTGGGAGAATCAGGAGAGCTGGACCCAATTCCTGGATGTAGATACTCTAATGCCTTGGGAACACGTTTGGAGCCTCAGCTTTCTACAGCTTAAGAAATGGGAGCAACAATACCTGTTCTCTCTGTTTTGAACATTTGTGAATACTTCAGTGATCATTTACATTCAGAAATGACCCCTGCAGAAGCTCAGATGTTTTAAAACCACTTGGAATGAATGCATTTTTGATTGAAAAAGTGACAGTGTTACCATAAACGCAATGGAAACCAAGTTCTTTCTCAGTCCTGGGGAGGCAGAGCCACATTTCCTCCATCTCCAGCAGCCTGAGCCTTCATACAGAGCATCAGAGGAGCTTTTGCTCCTAAAGATCTCCAAATGCTGCACAGACACCCATGATTTCAACTAATTCACCTGTACCTATGTTATAGGTATATAGGCTATATTATATTCTGCCTTTGTGCTCATCAAACAGTGGATACTTTCAGTTTCAGTAACAGAGCAGCTGAAGCACAACAGCAGCAATTCAGTGCCGAGCTCCATTCCAGCAAAGCCAAACTTCAGCCCCACTGCAGAGCTCTCTTATTTAGACACAAACCCACCTTCCCTTTCCTAACCCTTCTCTCTGCAGTGCTCCCCACCTCTCCCCAATGAACCATCTCTTGCCTGCAGTTTCCCCCTCCCTCCGTGAATCCCAATGCATTGCAGTACCCCAGAATGGCCTGGTGCTGCTCCCTCACACCGCTCCTTTCCTGCTCAAAGCTGATGCAGAACGTTTCCCCTGCACTCAATTCTGAGTTGAGAAGCACAGAAAGCAACCCGAGTGAGGTGTAGAGCAGATCCAGGCCCTGGGTGGGATTTTCTTGGCCAACTTCCCTTGGTTCTCATTCCACAAAGAGAAGGTTGCTGCAAGACAGCAGGGCTGTGCATGCACAAAATACATAAGGGGCACAAAATGCTTCACAAACACAGTCAACCCTCCTCCAAAAGGAAACGAGTCACTCTTGTGCTCTGTTCAAAAAGCACCAAAGGAACCAGGCACCAATATCCTGCACTTCCACACTGCAGCCCACAGCATCCCTGGGTGCGCTGCACTCTGTTCAGCTCTATCCTTCTGAAACTGGACTGCTCTACCCAACCCATCCTCAACACTGCTGCTTTTTCTGCTTGCTGGGAGATATCAGGTGTGATTCTATTAATTTTGGCCAATACCAGAACCCAGCAGGTGGGAAAGCTGCAACCATTGAGGTTTTGGTCTCAAGATAAGCTTCTAGTAAGAGCATCCCAAACCTTCTAAGCATCAGTCCTTCCTTTGTTCCCCCTCCCCCCCCCCAGTCAACCTGTTATTTAATTTGCAGCTAGGCAGAAAACTCATGCAGTCCTCTTACCCATACATCCCACATGAGATCTTTGTCATCTGTTTGGCCTTTTAAAAGAAGGCAGAACCCCACACTCATTCTCCAGTTCTTTCCCACCCAACACACACCAAGTCCCATCACCACCTCTCCTTCTCCCACAGCATCATTCCCTGGAGCCAAGCTTATGTCCCAGCCCACGTTTTGCTGAATTTTTAGTTCATTTCCTCAGGATAGCCTTGGATCTCCAAAATGGCAGCGAGATGAGTTCAGTTTGCTACACACCTCAAGACCCAACTGCTCATGCAGTAACTCCATGCAGCTCTCCATGAGCTGCACGCTTCATTTACAAACCAACTCTGCACTTGTACCAACCAATCTATCTAACATTTAGATTTCCATCTCCATAAAAGAACGTGATATTTCAAACAGAACAAAAGCACATCCCTCCTCCACCCTCTGAATTGTATGAACTTTCAAAATGGAAAGAAAAAAAAAAACACAACTAATTTTGAGCCCTTTTATGTGTTCTAATCCTTTCTCACTTTTTTTTTTTTAATTTTGAGCACAGCTGTCTGTTGTACTTTCTCAAATGATGCCAGATGCTGAGTTCATCAACCGAACGCACGAAAACAATGGTTTGAAAGCAATTAGAAGCACCGAGGCTGCACTGAGGCTCATATTAAAATGTGATAACACTGTTCTAAGGGGAATTGCAGCGCTGCTGCATTTCTGACATTTCTGTGCTGCCAGACAGGCAGGATGTGCTGGAAGTGGGCCCTGATCAAGGAGGTAACGTAGTGGAATTTATTCCTGGAGTAAATGAAGGATTAGCCGATTCAGAATGCTCACGGGGGTTTTTTAATTACAGCCCCAGCTCCCACCTCATTTGAGCACTGGCAGATCCTTGTTTGTGCTCACCTACTGCAGTCATTGCTTGCAGTAAGCCCCCAAAACCACACGCCTTTGCCACAGCCTGGTTGCACCCTACTGTCCCAAATCGGACATCAGAGCTCAGCTACACCAATCCCATCTGAAGTCAAAGGAGCTCCAGGTCAGCCCTGAGGAAATGCAAACCCATCAGCTGCCCTGGATGTGCAGAAGTCCTCGCTGACACTGCTGGCCACTTGCAGGCACCCTGCAAAGCCTAAATCATCACCCACATTACTGCAGAAATGGAGATCAAAGTGGTGAGCAGGTTCTCCCAGCTTGTTAACAGACATAACGAGGGAGGGATGGTCGTGGTCCTGAGGAATTTACAGCCTGGCTGTTTGTCTGCACCTGGAGGTTGACTCAACATCAAGTTCAGGTTAACAGAGGTGCAATAAGATTGGAAGCAGCAGGCTGAAGGATGCCCTAAAGTGTTTGCCTCCAAGTCAATGGCCACAGGAATATGCTGTCCTTCCTGAACCTCAAGTCTGTTCTGGAGACAGGAGTTGAGTAGGAACATTTCCTGGGCTTGTCCAAGATATTTAATGTCAGCCCCACGTATTTCTGTATTATTCCATAGAATATTTGTACCATCCTATAGAGTGCTTTGGTTGGAAGCGACCATAACCCCACACCACAGCCAACCTTCCACTGGATCCATCACTCAAAGCTCTATCCATTTACTGACTCTTGAGAAGAAAAACTGACTTCTACCCAAGATAAAACACCAACTCTGGCTCCTGCCATAGCCCTTATCACAGCCTTGTGCCTCTCCATCCCTAAGAGCTGCCCCTCACACAGCTCCACGTTCATTTTAAGCTCTTCTCCTTGTCAACTCTGCAAAGAAACCAGCATGCAACCAGCCCTTCCCTGCTCCCCAACCCCCAAACATTGAGAATCCCCCCTCCTTCCCACCAGCTTGTACTCACCTCGGGGCAGAAACTCCAAGTGGTACCTACAAGACAAAAATACATAAATACATGAAAGAGGCAAGCATGAGCAGATATGATTTTTTTGCAATGACTTCTTTTTTCCAGCCTGATGAAAAAGTGACAGATGGGAGAATAATACCAGACACACTGCCAGGAATCTAGTTGATGGTCTCAATGTATTTTGTGCAAGAAATACATAGGGGAAACAAGTCCTACTGATGCTAGCTGGCCCCAGGACACCCTCTGCTACCTAAGGAACCAATTTTGCTAACCAGATCCCCTCCTTTGCAAGAGCTTCAAAGGCTCTCAACTTCCTCCTCCTATTGCAGCTCTCTTTCTCAAAGCAATCAGGTTTATGTGGCCATTCCCTTCACAGCCTCGAGTTGCAAATTGCATCCAAGGATGCAATCTGTCCTGCAGCTCTTCTGAGAGCAGGTCACATCAGGAACTCGACAACACACTTGAACACACTGAGATGCCCTGATCAGCCTTTGCATCTCCGAATCTTCCAGTTTCTTTCTTATTTTCCTCCCCCTCCTCCCATCCCAGCTCTCTGCTCTTTGGCCATCTCCATCTAGCAGAGGTACCGTCCTCTGGATGCTCCTTTCCATGCTCCTTAGGAGCATGGGAAGATCACTGATCCAAAATTGCATAAGCCTCCTTGCAGAGCCACAAACATGAAACCTCATGGGATGCATATCACCAGTCCATGCTTCCTAATTCTCCTGCAAGAGTATCTAAAAGCCTAGAATGGTGTGCAGCAGCATCTCTTGCCCAGCAAGGAGCTCAGCACACAGCATTTCTAGTTTCAGGAGGCTGGACACACACATCCCCCATAGGGATGGCCACAGTGGAAAGATATTCACCACGATTCCTCTCTCACAACACTTTTGAGAATGCCTTTGGCTGTAGCATGAACCATTTTAATATGGAAACAGCATAGACACGGTTTGGAAACAGATCAAGGAGTTGGGAGAAGCCACAAAGTGACCCATTCACAGGCAAAATGCATAACAAAGGGTTGGTCTATAGGCATCAGTGGCAAGAATCCAGTCTGTAAAAATCCAATCAATTTGTTTACTCATTAAAAGCTTTCATGAAGAAAATGATTTAATACAAACATTCAAGCTACTGACACAGATTAATTAGAAAACAACAACAGAATTCTGATTAAGGGCATAATATTTATTTGTCTCGCTTTCTTTGGACAAAAAGGAAAAGAAAACACGTGCAGCCAAGGGATTTTTCTGGGAGAATAGGCTCCCATGGTGATAAATAACCGCTAAATACATTGGAAGGAACCACACCAGTGGCCAGAAAGGGCTGCAGATATATCCCTCGATCCTTGGGTGCTCTTGGCAGCAGTCCCCTATTAACACCAACTCTTTCCTATGCACCCTATGGCAGCTGTACCTACCTCTTTCCATCCCATAACCTGCCTGAGGTCAGAGGAACAAGTCAGAGCAGCTCCATGCCTTTATTTCCCTGCTCTACAACATGCAGAGCCCTGAAGTCCTCATCCTTCCTCCGCACCCCAACCCCATCCATCCCCAAACCCAGCAGCCACCAATGCTGGAATACTCTCATCTCCTGAGCAGACACTGATCCCAAGACAAGGACAGAGAAATCACTTCTTGTTTGGTGAACTTTTGTCTCCTGTGCTTGAGAGACTGTCCTAATCTCCCCTGAACATGTTTTAGTGATAACATTTACTGCACTAGGACCAAAATGATTTTCTGTCACTTCTCATTCCAGTTCAATAAAAGTATAAGAGCTTTGTTTCTAACCTCTGTCATTTCTAATACAGTAAAATGGTTTAAAAAAATGTAAAATTGAGTTCCATTTCCTACCGGACCAGCAAGCCCACGTTAGTTTCACTCTGATCAAATCAAAGGGGGGACAAAAAATACCAAAAAGATGCATTGCTTTTGGTTATTTATTTTACTGAGGCATAAGGAAACAGTCAAAATTCTTATCTCATCAGATCAGGATGAGTCTTTCATCTCCTGCTTTGATCATTTTCACTCTGGAAGGGCTTAAGCAGAGAATGAAAGAGTTCTAAGATTCAATTGGGAGTGGGAGAAGATGTTCTTGTGGAAGATGAAAGCGAGGATTGAATTCCTTCACCTGCCACACCAAGACTTGCAGCCTGCATGGCACCCTCTGAGGATGGCACAACATTTCCAGTTTGTTCACTGAAGTTGCTTAAATACAAACATTCTTTTCCCCGAAATCCTCTGTGTATATTTAAGGTTGCATTGGGGTTTAGGGTGAGCTTTGGTGTGTGTTCTTCCCACTCCCTTTCTCCCAGGTAGCAACGAATCCATCCAACAGCTACAAGAGGAATCCCCTCAGAAGGGCAGCACTCAAAGCATAGGAAATGGCACAGAAAATACAAAAGTCTGGGCTACCTCAGACCTTGAAGTAGAGAGGGAAGGAACACCTCCTGCCATATGATTAACTACCTTCAGCAAAACCAACTCGAAGGAATCCATGGAGAATTCTGATGCGATGTGTAGAGCAGGGAGCCAGCCCAAAGATATCCAATTTCCATCACAAAGCCAAAAGAATGAGCGCTGTGCTGCCAGGACTTTAACAAAAGCCATCCTATAAGCATTTCCCCCACATAGTTTGCAGCAAACCACCCACCTCTCTCACCTCATGGGAGCATATTTTGGGGCCAGACAGGAAGAAGCCACAGATTGGTTCCATTGGAAACACGAAACGCTCCTCGTGATGGTACAGCCTTTGAGGTTACATGCTCACCAAGCAACATGAGCAAGTGTCACCTGTCTGGAAGGGTTTATGTGCTTTGCTCCTGAAAAACGTGCACATCCCAGCCCGAGTTCATCAGTCTCAGAGCAGCTGCCTCCAATGGGCCCCAATCGAACTTGCAACTCAACTGTATGAACAGATCTCAAAGGGTCACAAGGAAAAGAAAGTGGTTTTGTCACATTACAGAGGGAAACTGAGTCACAGCCTTCGCCAGAATGCTTCCTTCCCAATGAGAACCCACTGCGATTTCTGCCTCCAGCCAGAACTAACATTCCCCAGCTCTGGGGCCAAAAGGAGCAGCAACTTCTGCTGCCTCCCACAGAAGGCTTCACCTTCAGGAGAACAGCATGTGCTGTGCTGAGCTCTTGCACTCAGAAGCCATTGCCTGGAAACAGCGATGCTGCTGGGACCGACTGAGCTGGGACTGCTCCCTGCAGGAGCCAAAATCCAGCCAGGAAAGTCACCAATTCCATCAGTGGCACAGAAATGCAATTAAGACATAAAACGACACCCAGCCTTCATCCCACAGGGTGAACTGGCCAGCCAACGTGCACCTCTTTGCCACATCCCAGTGCTGATGGATTCAAAGCAGATCCATTTGAGGCTGGAAGCAAAATGGCTTTCTAAGATCTTATGGTCTGTATTACGCCAGGGGTCAAACTTGATGGATATAATGGTCTCTTTGCAGCTTTAGCATCTATACAGCCTAAACCCCACTTTCCTCTCAGACTCCATTTCAGCAGGAACCATGCAATGAAGTCAGGTTTCAATCAAATTTCCGGCATTTTCTTGTCCAATTAAGAACACTAATATCACCACAGCTGTTATATTAGATATACCAAGACAGCCTAATTTGTTTGGTGCACAATACTCTCTGCTTTTTAAATGTTTGCAAGAAAAAAAAATGGAAAAAAAAAATCAATGCTGTACGAGATTTCAGGCACAGGAAAAAGAGAAAGGAAGGTTGAGGAGCTCACCATTAGCAGAGCCTCCTACAAACCAGTTCAAATGCATTTCCTAGCTAAATGCTACAGAAGCAGCAGCAGATAGGCAGAGACTCTGGTTACACAATTTCAATCATTTACAGTCCTTAGGTTTCAGATTAACAACGCATTCACCAGGAAATGGATGGTGAAATAAGGGGTAATTTTATCAGCTGGAATGGAAATGATGGGAATTACTGAAAGGAGCCAAAGCCAAACGGCACCAAACTGCATTACTGGCAGAGTGAGGGGCTGCATCCAGCCCAGGTATAAAAGCAGGTAGAATGTGATAACAGCTGAATTGAATTTGTTCCCCCGAATGCAAAGAATTCCTTCCTCATCTCTCTCCAAAGGAAGGAGGGGGAAAAAAAAATCCCCTACTGAGATTACAGAATAAATTCAGACCATCTTAACTAAAACTCTGCCAGGCCTTAATAAGAAGTCAGTATTCCATTGGAGTGTTGGTAACAGGAGGAATGCCTCTCTGCTCAGCCCCAGTGTTAATGTGCTGAGCTCAATTATCCGCCCATAAGGTCACATCCTTAAGTTCTTTTCATCTTGGTATTGCACATAATTCAGCATAATGAGCTACAGACAGTGAATGTACGCTAATGAAGCAACAATTACCCCCAAATCATGTTTTCTTTAATTTAAACCTCCAAATTTCTAGAACAGAGTCGAAATTGAAGCAGTAGATGGCAGTTAATACACCCAAGATTACTACAACAGGCCAAGTTTTGGATGCACTTCCATTTGTGAACCATTTACGGCCCCATAGCAGCAGCTGATGTCTAATGCAATCCTGCAGCATGAAGCTCAAACCGAGGATCCAAGTGAAGCAGCAACAGTTCAGCTGCGCCTGTAAACCAGTAAAACCAGCAGCTCAGTGATGCAACAGCACACACAAGCCACACACTGCCATGGCTTGCTGAGATTTGCAGCACAACCCCAGGATCCCCACACAGGATCAGCCCACGTTGGATTTATCCTTACACTTCTACTTGTGACCGTGCAAATTGCAGGTAGAGCTGCAGGGCTTACTCTGGATTTCCTAGTGGGTGTATATGAGAAACAGCATGAAGCCCTTGTCATCTCTGCTTTGGTATAGGACAGGTCTGCCTTGCAGGAGCCAGGAGTTGGACTCAATGATCCTTATGGGTCCCTCCCAGCTTAGGAGTCTCCTTTTAGCACCACTACAAGGAAAAATATATTAAGAATTCGTATCTATCAGTGCAAACTTGCCTTCCAGGAGGGAGTTTAATCTACAGAGATGGAGATACTATTTATCTCTGTATTTGTAAGTAAATCCTATTCTTCCCATCTCACCCCCTGCCATCCTAACTGCTCTAAAAGTGTCTAAATGCTGAGGTGAGGTCATTTAACAGCAAGATGACACCTTTTTTGCTTGCTGCTCTTGCCAAAGGACAAGAACAGGTCTGTGTTCCTGAGCAGAGCCATGTATCAGATTCGTTCCAGGTGTTGGACATCTGCTGCTCGCTCTGCAGCTGCCACTGCTAAGACATAAGAAACAGCAGCAATCTTCCCAAGGAACAGCTTGAAACAAACCCTCAGTACCAACCGACCTTAAACAGAAGCAACTGACAAGCTCTGGGGTTTCTGGAAGATGAGTACAACTTCACCCTGGCACAGCATCCTCCCCCTGCCCTCCCTCAATCCAGAGCTGCTTTTTTAGCAAGTTCTACCCATCACACTTTGCTTTTCCATGCAGCATCAGAGCAGCATCCTCAGCCTTTGGTCGAGGCACTGATGCTGCTGTCACTGTCCTGTTGGGGACCACGCCTCCAGCTGCACTCTATGACTTGTCTGATGGACGCAGTTGGAGAAAGCAACAAAAGTAGAAGAGATTATTAACATAAGAAAGAAAATAGGAAAAAAAATGATGCATATATTGCCAGGTTTTGCATCTGAGATCAGAAAGTGGAATAGGGTCCAAGTTTGCAAAGAGAGGAGGAAACCAAAGGAAAACACCACTTTTTTTGTTGTTTTGGTGGTTGCTTTGTTTTTTTTTCCCCTAACACAACAGCATGTTTTAAATAACCAAATGGTTTCTGAAAGTAAAACAGCACGGGGACTCATAACTCAGCTGCATGGTGACAGCTTTCCCACAAGCACCGCAGCAGCGCCTCCAACACAGCAGAAATACCTTTGAGTGCCTCAAAAAACATACATAACCTGCAAATACAATCCAGCCCCTACCTACCACATTTCTCCTGGCGAGAGGGGAACAATATATCCTCCCAGGTAGCACGTGGAGACAGAGCCCCAGCGCTTGTTCCTATTACAGCCATCAGGGCCCTCCTGATGGGGGACTGTTACGAGGCCATGGGGAGAGCTGCCATACAAAGACCTGAAGTTAAAGGAACGCTTATGAAAGAAGCTCGGGATAATCAGCTGAGATGAAGCTCTTCCCTTTCAGAGACTGCACGTCTCTCCCTGGTAGTTCAGCAGTTTACTTATGTCTGTGATGAACCCAAACAATGAAACCCTACACTGCGTTACGCAGCGCTTCCTGAGCACGACTGCTGCTGATTTCCTGAGCAGCAGCCCACGAAGCCACAGGAAGCCCCAAAGGGACAGACCTGTGCTCCCCACCAGGAGCAGGGCTCGCTCAGAGCCTTTCAGATAAGAAGAGAGTCATCATTACAGTCATCTCCCACCACAAATCATTGCCTTAATGGCTCAGGGCAGAAGAAGAGCGTTTGTATGCTGCTCTTCTCACCATTTCCAAATGCCACCGAGCAATAAAGCACAAGGAGGAAATCAGCAGTGCCCTGAGCTCTTTGCTATGGGTCTCACTTTCCCCTCTGCACTTACTGGCAATCTGTTTCGATAAGCAGCAGGGCTGGGGCCCATATCTTGACCTGAACATCCAGGAAGGATTTGTGCATCACATCCCCTCCTCATGCCAAGGCTGTTTCCCCACACCTCCTGCTTGTTGGGATGCTGCTTTCGGAAGCTTTATGCCAAATTGTATTTTCTTAGGCTGGTAAAGAGATAAAAGCAAAGGCTAATCCCATGATTCAGAACCCAGTGTTTGCCCCAGGACTCTCTTTACAAGGGTAGATAACGGTAGAATAAGGGGGAATGGTTTCAAACACCTCCAAGGATGGAGCATCCACAGCATCTCTGAGCAACCTGTTCCAGCACCTCACCACTATCAGTAAAAATCTTCCTCCTGACATCTAATCTAAGTCTCCCCTTCTTTAGTTTAAGGTCAGGTTGGATGGGGCCCTGGGCAGCCTCATCTAATGCTTGGATCTAGTGGTTGGTGGCCCTGCCTGTGACAGGGAGTCGGAACTTGATAGCCCTTGGGGTCCCTTCCAACACAAGCCATTCTATGGTTCTGACTCCAAAGGCTGCTCCTTCTCTAACAAGTCACCAGAGCTGCACAGGATCTCCATGAAGCCAGAGGTCCCCTGGGGAGGCCGTAGCAGCATCCTCCCCCAGTGCTCAAGTGCCAGATCAGAAAGTTTGCTGAGGACTTCACACACTTATCAGGTTCCATGATACTGATTTTAAAACTCATTCAAGACAGACCTAAGGTTGGATCATACAAAAATATATCATTTCTAAGGTTCTATGCTCTGCAGACCATTGGGAATAAATAAAAGCCTGCCTTAATGCCTGAATACTTCAGGTTCATAGTCCTGCTAACTTCACTCTTTCCATCCAAGGTCACTACCTGGCAATGTCTCAGAAGCCACACCAGCCCTCTGCACCCACACCAAAAGGTTCCTCCCCAGCACTACAAGGCACCCCTGGACACACCTCTTCTCCTTTAGATACACCACAGCCCCATTTCCAAAGGCTTCCATCTTCTGCATCCCGTTTGTTTCAATTATTCAGGACAACCCAGGCTGATAATTACACAGTCCCGTGTTGCTGAGTAAAACTGATGCATAATTAGCCAGCAGGAAAGATCGATTAAGATACAGCAGGGCATCTTGCAAAGTTCTTCAGTGGGACTGCAGGGAATAGGAGCTGGCTGTGCCCTTCCAAAGGATAAAATTCTCTGCATCTCAGGGACTTGACAGCAGTTTTATTTAAACGGGATGCTTCCATCAGTCAGCCACCCCGAGTTTTATTGTCAGGTCTTAACTTCAAATGACACAACTCATATCTTTTAACTAGAGCACAAACACCAAGCTATACATCACATTTCCAGCCAGAAATATAATGCAGCTGAGGCTCCAAGTTGCACTTAAGCCTCCAGCAACATGTTTTCTATTTTATGTCCTTTGATTTTCCCATAGCACCACAGCACAACCTTTGTCTGCTTTGCTCTCAAATCCGAATGACGCAGCTCCCATTCTCATTGCAGATTTGAACAAGGCTGAGGTCAGCACATTTGGGAGCACAGTTCAGAGATTTAACTTTGGAAGTCATCTTCTCTCCTTTTGCAGTGTGGGTTTGGGCTCAGGAGCCACACATGGAATGGATGCTTTCAGCAGCAAGCCAGCAGTGTGAGCCTTTGCTCACTGTATTGATTTATCCACATATCTCAGCATCAAGTAATGGATTTTCCCCTTCCATACACAAAATCCTCAATAGCACCACAGTGGAGGAAGAAGAGCATCAGATTCATATGCAAAGAGCTGTACAGATGCTGCCCAAATCACGTTTTCTGCTTTAAGGAACAACAGATTCCAAAGGCAGGCAATGATAACTCTGCAGACAACCAAATATAACCAGCTGATGTAAATAGAAGGACACAGCATACTCTCAATTATACCAACTTCTAAATGCCCATTATCTCTCAAACCATGGGCCAATTATCCTCTTTCCTGAATACAGTATGCAATATGCAAAAAAAAACCCCAAGTTATAACTGTTCATTAGAAGACAGACATAGACAACACATACCTGGCTTTGGCTTGCTGGAAGCCATAGAGAATTGTGTTCCTCTGCTCCCTTGCTCTAGGGCTCAAGTTTTCGTTCTGCAGTCCATCCACCAGGAAGCACTCAGCATCTGAGTAAAGGGAAAGAAACAAGTTAAAGCCAATGGGCAGCTGAAGGTACCAGTCCTCGGTGGAGAACAGCATCAGCATCTCAAGGATCAGAAAGCCCTGGTGCAGATTTGAGGAAGACAGCCTGTCAGCCCACCATGAGACACTGGGACTCACAGCTTCCAGTGGGTCTGTCCCCTGCTGACAGCCAGCAATAAAAGAGTTGGCTCTTTCGGCAAGGTCAGAAGCCTTGCTTGAACACCACTCTTCTGCCACATGCATTCTCTTCACTCATTAACCACTGCCTTACACTATTGTGGGCAGCACCCAACACCTCCCATATACCTCTCTGCTTCCCCAAACCCTAAAAATGTGCTGCTATGAAAGCCTTAAGGGCTGCCATTCAGAGAAGTATCCAAAACGCTTCTAATGCAGTGGATGCCTGACACCCAGCACTTAAAGAAAATCCCAGCTGGTGGCTTTCACTAGGAGAACCTTCCTGAGGAGCAGGCATTGAACACCAACTCACCCACATACAGATATATCACACCACGTGCTCTGCTAATGCTCAGATACACTGTGCTTGCCCAACAGAACAGCTTGGCAGAAGTAAATATGGTAGTCTCTCACTTGGAAAGCACAGCTACACGCAGAAATCTAACCTAAACTGAAAGGCAAAGAGACAACAGGTAGATTAAGTGCCTTCTATTTGGATGAATATTTATACTCCTTACAGAAGCCTCTTAGAAAAACAAAACATTTCCAACCACACCTGCTCTGTAAATGAAAGCATCATCATCATCCCTGTATTCCGGCAGCTTTACTGCTGCTTTCCTCTAGCAAAGATTGGCTTCAAAGCTGTGGTGCTGTACACCCCCAGCCCTCTCCAACCTTTAATTCATGCCCCATACTGTGACACTAATGTCAGTTTAATATCCTGCTTGCAAGACTTGCAGCTCCTTATGCTTCAGCTGCCAGAACGGCAGCCAGCACTGCTCAGCACGCCCCAGGAACCTTTACAGCTCCTTAACAAAACAGTTCCTCTACCTGCAAGCACAGAAGATCAAAGTGCCACAGGAGAAATGAATATCTTGCCCTGCTAAAGTCATGAGCTCTTATTTTCACCACCTGCCTGTGACAAAGGTAAGAAAGGCTGAGAGCTGGAGGGAAAAGAGAGAAACATCTCTCTGAAGTGAAGGACAAAAGCAAGCTGTGTGCTCAGGGAGTGGGGCAGATGTGCATCCCCACAAATGGGGCTCCCTTCCCACTTTGTCTTTGCAGTGATGAAGAGGACCAGAGAGACGCAGCGCTGGGCACGGCAGCAAGGGGAAGGAGGAGCAAAGTCAGATCATAACACTGCTTTCTGCAACCCCTCTGCTCTCATTTCTGGGATTGTTCAGCTGAAAGCATCACTTCCCATTGGAGCACTCAGCGAAAAGCACACTTTAGCCAAATTCAGACTAGTCCAGGTCACTGTCAGCTCTCTCCTAACAGTGATGCTCTCAGCACATGGGAAGCAGAGATGAACCACCTGTGCCTCGTTGCCTGCAGCCCCACACTACAGCCACCACCTGTGGCCAAGAAACAGAGCCTGAAGCACAAAGACAGCACTGAGGACATCCAAGTGCCCTAATGCGTCCCCTCTGATGACAGCACATAGCTGGCACATCTCTGCTGAAGGGCAGGAACACAAATTCACAGTGCTGCCCTAAACACACACCTACATCCAGCAGCAGTCTCAGCAGCTGCAGGAGCACAGAGGCATCAGGTCAGAACATCCTGGCTCTGCCTGGTATCCCACTGAGGCTCTGCTGGATCTTTTGCTTCATTTAAGTTTCATTTTCAGCACATCTCCACACTTTTTTTAATTCCCCCTCCAGGATACAGCACCAACTTATGACAAACCAACAGTGCTAGACTTGCACTGCTTACAAATAACATAAGAAATAACCAAGGACACGTATCTAGGCACAAAAACATGCCTTGCTCTGAGAAGCTTACTATAAGAATAGATGAAGGCTGAGGGGACAGTTTATTATGGACAAATCTGCTTTAAGACAGCACTATAGAGATCAGTCAGCGAGAGAAACCCTTGCAGGCTGCAACAAGAGCAAATGAGAGCTGCAAACTGGACCAACATCAGCTGTTCTTCTGCCCTTTTAAAGCACAAAGCAGCTCCACAAGTATACCATCAGCTGCAATACGGTATTTACTTGCTGCCATGTCAGCACAGATCAGCTGCTGGATAAGTTATAGCAGAGCTGTGGTCCCTCCTGCAAAGCAGGCAGAGCCCTTTCAGAGCCAGCCACGATGTTTATAGCACCAGGAAATGAAAAAGAAAGCCTAACCATAAACTCTCCAAGTGGATCAGGAAGAGCAATATGTAAGCAGCTCCGGAGTAAATCACCCCAATGTTAGTTTTACTGCTTGTCAGTAACGTTATATTCTTGATGTTTATAGATTGCTCTCTGTGATCCACTCCGAAAGTTTACAGGACTCTCCCTTTCATTTCCTGCAGCTACCAAAGGTAAGAGAGGGGAAAAAAAATAAAACAGTTGAGATTTCATCAAGTGCTTCAGGAGAGTTTCTAGAGGCAATTGCAGTCATCCACTTTAATCCCACACGCAGTGCACAGCATTGTAAGAATTATGTCACAGCCACCCGAGTCCTGGGAGTAAATAACCCTTTAATGGCAGCACTAAATCTTTGAGTTAATCATCACTCAATGAGCAGAGCTGAAAGGTATTTAGAGGCCGTGTACGTCTCTCCCATGCCCACAGCTAAACACTTGTTGCTCTTTTCTACTCATCTGCCATCAGAAAGCCAACTCAGAAGCTCAACACCGAAGCAATGGAAGCCAGTGCAGATCTAGCTGCTCTGCTCTATCACTGCTTGCTGCTTCACACAGTCCTTCCTGCAGTTTCCCATCCTATCAACAGAGTGCAGACACCTCAAGCATCCGTGAGACTGCATTAATGTTTCCAGGATGCTAACAAGACAGCTGGGGGGTCAGAATGCTGCACCAGCACTGCCTGGAACCCAACAGCCCCACAGAACACAGCACTTGTTTGCTTATTTTTAAAGCAGCACTAAGGCTGCTCACCTTGAAGGCAGCAGCTCCTGGCTCTGCTATGCTTTCCAGATGCAGTCGCACTCCCACGGGGCAGCATCTCTTCTGTCCTCTCTGCTGCCAAACTCCGCAAGAAAAGGGCCCTTCAGACCCCCCCTCTGGGATGAAGAGGTTGGGCAGGGCAGAGGAAAACACAGTCAGGCTGCCTTTAGCTTCTATAAAACAGAGCAGAAGCCCTGGATTTGTCAGATACACCACATTTTTAAGAACCTCTGTTTCAGCCTTCAGAAGAAATCTGTGCAAAACAAAGAGAAATACCCTGAGCTTCCCTTTGTCTGAAGCAGGACTGAAACCTTGTGCAATTAATGACAACTTGAGCTGCTTATTTGTGACATGGAACCGAGTAATAAAACTGCTGCAACCACATCTATTCATAAACATAAGGCAATCAGCATTCAGAAGCACTGCAGCATTGCAACGTAGAGAAGATAGCCATGGTATATCAGCTTTCAACCACTGCAACCTCAGAGATGGCTTCTGTGATAACAGCAGGGCTGTTGGGAGCCAGCCATTGGCTACTGGCCTTTTGGGCACCTTACATACAGCCCTCCACTATGGAACAAAGCTTAATTTAAGGAAGCAGGCATTATAGCCCATACACCAGTACGCACTAGCTCTTCAAGTTGTAATTTTTTACTTTAAACACAAGAATTCTTATTGTAATGCAGTTTGAAAACCTGATGAGCTTAAGCTCCTTTGGTTCCTGCATAGCAAGAAACCTTCCCAGCCCCTGGAAGGCCTCGAGACTGTACAGATTGTTAAGACACAGCAAGTTTGATACAGAGGTATGTGACATGCAATTAATCTCCATTCATAGCCTGCTCTACTTGTCAGCAAACAAAGGCTGTGCTTTAGAAGGAGATCTGAAGCCTTCAATTAAAAACAGTCAGCTAACAAGAAAATAATCTAAGTTAAAGGAAGGTGGCAGGTGCAGAAATGAGTTGTTTACAGAAGCGTCAGCAGCGAACAATAAAGCGCTGCACATCAAAAACGGGAAAGGGCGAACTTCACCAAAGCCCCCACGGTTAAAAAGCAGAGGGGAGAATTCACACCTGGAGGAAGAGACAGGGCATTTGGGAAGGAGCTTCGATGGGCTGAGAGGCTGCGTGCTCTGACTGCTGGGACTGGAAGGAACTCAGAGTTGGGGTGACTTCAGGGAGACCTCATAGTGGCCTTCCAGTACTTGAAGGGAGCATACAGACAGGAGGGGCAACGGCTGCTCACAAGTGAAAGGACAAGGAGGAATGGCTTTAAACTGAGACAGGGGAGGTTGAGGTTGGATATTAGGAGGAAGTTTTTCACCCAGAGGGTGGTGATGCACTGGAACAGGTTGCCCAAGGAGATTGTGGATGCCCCATCCCTGGTGCCATTCAAGGCCAGGCTGGATGTGGCTCTGGGCAGCCTGGGCTGCTGGTTGGCAACCTGCACATAGAAGGGGGTTGGAACTAGAACATCATTATGATGCTTTTCAACCCAGGCCATTCTATGATACGATGGGCTGGTGCTGTCAGGAGATGAGCAACAGGAAACCAAAGGTCACGAAACCTCGAGGCAGAGCAGGTCAGGCTCAAACACAACAGCTCAGAGCATCGAGCAGCAGAATGCAAACAGCTCCTTCCCATCACTCTGCCTGCACCTACAGCAGCAGGATGTGCCAGCAACGTGCACACGTGCAGCAATGGGCCAAGGCTGCTGCTTCAGCCTGCAGTGCTGCTGCTCAGGCTTTACATACAGGGAGGTCAGCAAGAATCAGCAGGGCAGGGGGAAGTCAGCATGTGAGCAGAGGTGACTGCAAAAGAAAAGGCAATGCTAGAGAGAAAAAACCACTAACCCTGAGTATGGGTTCCCTTGTTTGCATAAATTTGCTGCAGAAAGAATCAGTCACCAGTTTTTTTTCCACACCTGTGCAGAATTCATTCATGGTTGCAAAGCACAGTTGGCAGATGAGGTAAGCCCAGTTTCTGCAGTGCTGACCCATTGCTTCAGTGGGAAGGGGTTTGTCCAACTGCTCGGGTTTACAGAGAAATCAGGAAAACCTGCAGAACTGCCCAGAAGCTCCATCTCATGCCTACAGGAAAGCAATGCTGCCACCATCACAGCTTCTTCCCTTGGATGTGAGGCCTCAGGAGGTCACCTTCACTTCAGCAAGCAGAAGCAAAGCTTGAAGCTGACACTGCTTTCTCAGTCTATCTCCATTTTTGAGCAGGGTTGAATCTCTCCTGTACCCTCACCACAACCAGCTTGTTCTGCACATCCCCAAGGATGCATACAGCACTGCACAACATCCAGAACCAGGACGTAGCACTACCACAGCTGCAGCAAAAGCCTGGGGGGAAGGAGCAGGGGGGAAGGGAGGGGGGGTGTCTCATTGCAGCACACAAGTTTATTCTACCCTGTGTGCCTGCCCCTTTGGCTCACCCCAGCAAAGCCCACGCAGTGCTTTAAGAGAAGGCACGTGGTGGGGACATCACACCAGAAAACACCCCTCAACTTCACCCATGCTCTCCTCCTCTACAAACACAGCTTCTGGAGCCACCAGAGAGCTGCTTCTCTCTTAACACAGGCACAGACCCACCTGCCAACTCCTGGTATTCTGACAACACTGAGCACCAGGACAAGCAGCCACATCCCCTATGCTTCTCTCATCAGAATTAGCGATACAAAAGGCACACACACAACCTGAGGACCACAAAGCCATCCATCAGCTGTAGAGGAAAAGTAACTCCCGTAGACCTCCCGCTCCCCTCTCTAGATCAGCACAATGAGATGCTAAAGGCCTTCCAGGCTCTTTCTCTGCAACAACTGCAGGGGATTTGCTGTTAAACAGGAGAGCAGCAAGGAGGAATTGGTGGTTACCTTCAAGGAGTCTCTGAATGTCCTCTGGGATCATGGCCCTGCCACCTCCTTTCCACCAGTCAAAACTGGTGGTGCTGCTCCGGTCCCTCAGCTGCAGGGACAGAACGAGAAAGGAAGCAGAGGGGGTGGGGACGCCCCAAAGAAGGTGGAAGGAACCGCAGAGCTCTGCTCAAACGCCTCCACCTCCTCTTTCAGCCTCACAAGATGCAGTCAAGGTGCTGAGCTGCTCCATCCGTACTCCTCACAGGTCGAGCTCCACTCAACTAACTGCAAAAAGCCCAACCCCACCCCCCAGCAACAACACAGCTGATAGCGAGCTCCCTGCATTAGCATTTTAATCAGGTGGCAGTTAGGCGAGCATCTCCTTCATTAGCGCACAATTCAGCGCACCTGCTGGCACAGCAGAGCCAGAGCTGTGCGGCCTTTGCTTTAACCCCCCTGTGCCGAACCCCCAGCACAACAGGAGATGAAGGTTGGGTCTGTTCCAAACAGAGGCAGACCCCCTTCCCCTAATGCCCAGGAGGAGAAGCAGCGCTTGCCTGTTTTGCAATTAAACATCCCCACTTCCTACATCCTGCGTAGGAAGGGGATAGAGAGTAATAGCCGCTCATATTTCAATCTCGCCCGGAGAAACAGGAGGGTTGTGCACTTTAACTTGCTTTTGACAGTCAATAAGTGCAAACTGCACTCTGCAAAACAGAAGTGGCATTGCATTAGATTAACCTGCAGTCCCACATCCGCTTCTCTGCTACACAAATGAATTAATGCAGGCCAGCTATGGGGATATACTGCTAATATTTTCCATCCTCGTATTCCCAAATTTTGAACCCAAGTGCAGCCTTCTTTATCTGAAGCTCACCAGCAAGAAAACCCCTCAAATGATTGCAGAGTCCTTTTAGGTTGGGACAGCACCTCTATGAATAACAGCAGTGAGAATGGAGGGCTTTGGGGGAGAGGTGAAGGCGCTGTGACCAGAGGCATGTCCAGTGCCACTCCAGACCACACAAGTTTCCTATTCTGTGTACAAAATTCACTTGATTTTCATCCTTTCCCTTTTACTTTGGGTGCTGCTATGTCTGCTTGCACACACTGACAGCAGTTTCGCAGCACATCCTTGCTTTTGGGATGCTGCGTGCAAGAAATTGCTCTGCAGCGGGACTGGATGCAGCATGGAAAACATTGCTGCCATTCAGAGGGCCTTGCACAGGAGATTGGCTTGCTGGAATGCATCTCCATCACAGACAGGAGTCTTTGCCATTACATCTGCTAGTCAGGCAGGGTTTCATGAGGCAGGATTGGGAAAAGTGAGAGTCTCCAGTGGGAGCAAAATGTGAATTTCTCCTAGCTGCCCACAGCTCCTGGCAGCCGGGAGCTGCTGTGATCATATGCAAGGAATGGTAGTGCATGCAGGTGGGTGTACAGTAGATGGATCTGTATGCTTGTGCTCACCTGGAGGTGTTTAGGGATAAATATTTAAATGTTTCTCCATAGAAATCCTCCTCAGTTCATTACAGACTGCAAATAAACAGCAGCTGCTTGCTGCGAGTGACTAACTTTAAAAACGACTTTATAAAGGGATGAGCTGGGTCCCGTAGATGGAAGAAACTGCCTTCAGATATGCCAGAAAGATCAATGAAACCTGATCAATGCAAATCTCAGAAGGAAAAACATTCATGCAACTGCAAAGAAAAGGATCATCTCACGGGTTTTCTGCATATCTGTAGCTCTGAAAGCATGGTGCAAAGAGTGAATTAGACAGCCAGTGAGCCTTGCCCAAGAGATAAACCACTTTATCATATTTAGGGGATGGGGGAAGTTCTTCCTCATGTCAAACGAGCAGCGGGTTGCTTTGCAGGTGTTGTGGTGGGGCTTCGCCTTCCTTTGCTGCCTGGGTTGTGATCACTGCATGAAAGCGTGCGGGGATTTCACCCACCACATTTCCTGTTGCAGCGTTTACCTCAGCAGCAAAGCTTTAGCTCTGTTCTGCTCAAACGCATTGCTCTGGTGATTTTTGGTCTTTCGCTACAGATCTTGAGGTTATCATAGAGCTCTGAGTGTAGTGTGGAGGCGTCCTGGGTGGTCTTGGATTGCACATCCATCCCACGGCCTGGAGACAGAGCTCAGCACCTCGGATGTCCCCCTCAGGCCCTATCTGAAGATTTTGTTAAGACAATACTGACCATTTAGCAGATGTTGCTAAAATTGAATCCATTTTACCATGGAGTCTCAGCTGCCGCGCAGATGTACGTGCTGTTACTCACAGCCTTCACACCATACACGAGCACAGCCAACACTGCTGTTCAACCTCACCCCTCTGCAGACAGAGCCAGGCAGTGAGTCCCCAACAAATGACCTTTTTCTTTCCCTTGCCACTTTTCTTTGTGGATAGGCTACAAATTCCGTTCGGTGGTCAGCTGGGAAGGAGATGAGGTGGTCTGGCAGTGGCTGGTAGCTATCCTTGCATCACTGCTCTGTAGCATCATGCTTTGCGGGCTGTGGGTGTAAAGCTGCCTCACTGCATGATGAAAGCCCCACCTGCATCATTTTCGGCCTGAAGTTCAGCAGACAGGGCTCTCTCCTAATGGTATTCTGTTAAATGGACAAATTCCTTTGAAGGCTTGTCTTGCTTTGAAATCCAATTTCTCAGGAAGCCAGATGTTTTTGCGTGTAGCTATGGAAACAGAGCAGGGAGGAGCTGAGCAATGCAGGTAAAATGGGAGAGTGGGAAATATGGAAGGATCTGGAGGGGTTGGCAGGAGCTGTGTCCCTGCAATGGGCTGCTGGGCGCAGTGCAGTGCCTGTCAGTGCAGGTGAGCAGCCAGCTGGTGTGTCACAGGACCTGGAGAGGAGCTGGATGCACACAGCCAGAGATGCGGGCTCCTCGGTTTCCATCTGCCCCTTTTCTGCTCTTCCAGCACATCACCATTCTCTCAGCCTTCCCCTCTGCCATTCGGAAAGGTTAACGACAGAAGGGTAACAAGGTTAAACCGCAAAGCCTCGCCTGATAACAGCCCTTTCAAGCAGCTGCGCTGAAATTAATCTGAAACTTTTAGTAATTAGATAAGATAAGGATGTGTGCATGCTCACGCAGGCACACGCTGACCCTGGGACGCCCATTCTACGGGGGGGGTGGAGGATCACAGGCTTCATTAAACGGGATCAGGTCATTTATTCACCTCTTCTGGCACTGCAGCACTGGAGATACATTTCCAGCCTCTTTATTCATCCTGCTGGCTCTCCGTGGGTAGTACACTCACTTGCCCTTTTGTCCTCCCTTTCCGGTGCTGTGGCTGCTGCCAATTCAGAGCAGACTCTCATTCTTGCTCTTTCAGAACAGATGCCAGTCCATCTATTTCTGTATCACAGCTCCTGCCATTCCAGGTCAAATTGTTGGACCACTGGGTGTCATTTGCTGCCTCTGACAGTGACCAACAGCTCAGTTAAAAAAAAGGCATCTTTCCAATCTGGTCATTCACCTGACTGCTTGAATAATTTCTCCTGGTTTACTAATCAGCTGTGCCATGCTAATGCTCTGCTGTAATCCCAGAGTTTACATGCTTACGTCGCTTTCATTGCCCAACAGCTCGTGTATCTTCCTTCTCGTGTGACTAAGTCATTCAGTTAAAGGTTGGTTACAACCCTCATAAATCATCTCTCCTTTCTGAAGGCTAAGTGGTCTTCCCATGTCCACACTATTTGGCTCTGCACCTCTGCTTCACGAGGGCTTGCAGGTGACCGTTCATCAGTTTCTGAAGCCAATGAGAAACAAAAATATGTCAGCAGCTGCAGCTCTCTCTGACTTATGGCAAACTGATCTGGTTCCAGTGCAAATCTAAATTACCGGACCTCGCTGCTGGCATAGACTGCCAGATTCTGGATTCACTTACCTCCCAGACGTGCTGTATTTTCTCTGTTGTGAAGGCTTCTTGGAAGCAAGCAGATGTGTTGAGATGTATACATTAGAATGTATAGAGCGTAATCGTTTCTGGTAACAGCAGTGCATTTCAATAGGACCCCACTGGCATGTTCCTCCTGTGCCTCTGCGGTGGAGGTGGCACGTGGCAAGGATGTGCAAGGACTCCTTTCCTGGGTGTGCCCAGGATGGTTGGGGTGGAGGTGGTCTGAAGGCATCTCCCAACATCTGTGTTCTGATGCTACAGCCAGGTGTGGGGAACGGGTTGCACTGCTTAAATCCCAAGGAGCCTTTTGTGGCCTCCTGGAAAAGCTCATCAGCATCGGGAAAAGGACAGTCTGTGAAGGGGAGGATGAGAAAGATAGGAAGGGAGAAAAGAGCACTGAGCTGAGCTCTCTTGGAGGCTGCTGCTCCTCGGGCTGACGGATGGGTTTCAGTTTAATGCAAAGGTGATATTGATCCCTTGCTGTTTGGTTACAATGTGTGATGGAGCTGCCCTCTGCCCTGTAGATGTGTTGCAGCACCTTTTCTCTTTCTCCCAACCCTCATCAAACTACTTTAATGAGTCTTTTATTGACAACACCAAGTCTTAATGAGGAGGACTGCCACACACTTCATTAAGGCTGCAGAGGGGACACTTCCTACAGGCAGCCAGCACCAAGGACTGCCAGCAGGGCTGAGGGAAGGAGATGGAGTTAAGGGAGGGTATAAAATAAAGGAGGGAGAACTCCCTGTCTGCTCCAGAGAGAAAACAAAGATTTAGGGCAAAAGCCCACGTTACCTGAGAAGCAGTGGGTTGAGAAGGAGAGATCTGTCCTGGGGAAAGGTCCAGGTGGACATAGGGGTTGTAATGTTAGAGCTCTGTGAGCATTTCCATTTGGGGCGAAGATGAGATATGACAAAATGTTGGGTGGCTTGTGGCTAAAATGAACCTGGATGCTATTTCTCAGTTTAATGGTAACACTGCCATGCAAGGTGGTGGTGGCAGCGTGTGTCAGGCATGCTGGGCAGCAGTACAGACAGCAATAGAGCACTGGCTTGTAGTCTGCCAACCAGTGGTACATAGCTGGGTCACCAGCACTGAGATCCGGGCTGTCAGCTCAGAAAAACCAGCTCAGAAATATCTGTGTAAGCATCAGCCACACCATTGCACTTCAGGGTCTTGAGATGGACTGTGAGACTTCAGATTAAAACCTGGTCCATCTGTTCTGT